AGCGATGGCCTCCAACCTAAGAGCGATGGCCTCCAACCTAAGAGCGATGGCCTCCAACCCAAGAGCGACCGCCTCCAACCTAAGAGCGACGGCCTCCAACCTAAGAGCGACGGCCTCCAACATAACAGGAAGTCCTTCATCCTCCCCGAGCCATGCTTCGCGTCCACCCGTGCAGCCGAGGGGCGTCCGCCTGCCCCTCGCCGTCGCCCGCGGTGTCTGTGGCCGCAGCTGGGGCCGCCCTGGGATAAATGCAGTACATCGCAAAAGTCATGGCAACTGATCAAGTCCACTGTAGTGGCTCCCAATTGATGGAAGAGTGAGTTCCTCCCAAATTCAACTGGACAGTGTATTAAAAGTCTTTCTGCTTCTGCAATCATTAGCGTCTGGCGCAATGGCCAGGTCTCTAAGTACTTTACAACAAGCTCAGGAAAATAGGAGTTTTGCAGCCCTAATTCTTGACCTGCAGTTGAGGCCAATAAGGTTTCTCACGGTATGCTTCGCAACTATGCGCTGAAGGATCCATCAAAATGAAGTCTACACCACCTCTCACTGCAGCTACTGCAGCATCCTTCAGTCACAAAAACCAATCCAGTCAGCACCCTTTGTCTAGCATGTCTCACACTCCCGGTGTGGGAAGCCTCCGCCCTGGGCATCCCCCCTGTTCGCCGCCCTAATTAGGCGTCACTCTCAGAGGCTTCGGCGGCGGTGGAGGCCTCGGAGGTCAAGGCTTCACCCAGCGGCAACCCGCGCAAATTATCCTTGCTGGACGGATCGTGGCCACAAACCCTCTTACCGTAGAAAGCGACCTTGATAATGGCCCAATAGCTCACGCATGAGTACATCACCAAACTTGGCCACATCAAAATCCAATCCTTGAAGTTCTGACAGAATCCAGTATCTTCAGCACCCTGTGGCTTCATCTTCAAGTGATAGATCAGCTTACAACCTTCACGATCAAGGTAGAAAAAGATCAGGAAAACGATGTAGGTCCAAGCAAGGCCGGAAAAGCCTGCGATCATCACTCCAGTGTTGGCTGCAGCATCCAAAGGATACTGGCCTGTGTGTTCTGCCATCTGCTGGATGGTGTCGCGTTTGGCGTTGACCAAAGCATAGTTGATGAATCCGGCAAGTCCTGTCAAGGTAAGAGAGCACAAAATGAAGCCATAGTAGATCACGAACCAAGTGCCATAGGACATGGCCGCTGCGCAGTTGTAGCGGCGACGCTTCACCACGAAGTAGTGGAAGACCTCACAGGCACCGATTGTCCAGCGCTCACTCTGGCGGAACCACTCGCTGAACTCCTCGCATTGGCTGCCGCCACTAGTGGGGCCAGAGACCACTGGCATAGGAATCATGAGAATTTCCACGCGCTTCTGGAGAGCCTGCAGCATGGACCCTCGTTCATACATGCCAAAACTGCCTCGCTTCAATACACTCTTCTTTTCACTCGTTTGGACACGTATGTGAGTTATTGTGATTCTCATGAACAGTTTCAATTGCAATTGATTTGATAAGGTTGGCAATGAACATGTCATTTTGTCTCTGAATGAATCAACAGAAGAAGGGTGAGCGAAAGATATTTCAACTCTGAACGGACAGGGCGTTGAGGGAGCCAAAAGATGTGTGTGGATTGAGGCGCAGGCCGGCCTGCATGCAGGTCAAGGTGTAGATGATGTCGTCCATCTGATAGTGTGCATGGAAGAACTCCCCTTTGATGCAAAGGTCCAAGGAGAAGCTGAAGATCGACATGGTGTTGATGTTAAAGGGAATCAAGAAGCCAAGCATGTAGGCTGCGCGCATGATGCCGATGGCACGGACATAGAAAGGTCTTTCATTTAAGAAATGATTGTAGTAAAGTGGCGCCTGCCAAACCACCTCTTTGGCCTTGGGGGAGGTCAAGAACTGATAGCCCAGATTCTCGAAGTAGCGCGGTGCGAAGATGGAATCGGTGTCACAGCTGGTGGCGGTGGTGCAGCTCAAATCCAGGTCACCATACTCCTCCAGGCGCGTCACGGCAGCACGCATGGTGTAGTTGGCATTGGAGCACTTCCCACGGATCTCACGGCCACCGGCCCACTGCTTTGGATGCTTCGTCACGTGGAAGCGCTTGAAGGACCTTGCATAGCGCTCCTTCAGGCGAGCAGCCTTCTCAGCCACATCGGGCGTGCCTTCTTCGAGGCCAATCACCACGATGAGACGGTGAGCCACGGATTGTGCCGCCAAGGAGTCAATGGATTGGCAGATCACCTCCATCGGCTCCTTATAACCACACATCATCACCAAGTGCTGCAAGTTATCCGCCAAACGCCTCTCCTCGTCGGTGTTGCGAGGGATCTTGTCTTCCCAAGTGTCATCCACCACCCGGTTCATCAAGTAGTTGGCCTGCAAGGAACGCCAGGCACAAACCGTCAAGAGGAAGGCACCCAACCATCCCACGAACAAGCCATAGACCGCGGCAAAGATGGGGCAAAAGATGTCGATCCACAAGGGCAACGGGATGATAATGAAGTCGAAGATCAAGAACAACAAGTTCCAGCGCATGATGACGAACTCATTCTCCTTGACGACCTGCTGCTTTTCATCCACTGCATACTGTCCTCTTGGTGCAGTGGT